GTTATTTTCCCAACATATATCCGGATAGTTGAAGTCCCCCATCACCAACAAACAAATGTGTTTGTTTGTTCTACCTGACGCAGTGTGTTTGGTTTGCAGTGTGTCAGAGACTCTCCTTGGGATAACAAGCCTGGAACATATCAATTTCTTTGTTCAATTGACGAACTCATATAAGCTTGCAGCGTCCAGTGGGCATAATCGGACACTGGAAGATGGAAGGGTTGCGTCTGGGACCGGAGATATTGGCTAGTGTCATTCGCTTGCAGAATCCAAGGAACAGTTTACATGCTAGAGGCTGTGCGTGAACAGCCCAGGAGTGGGGGCTCTCACAGTGAGCAGGGTCAGGCTGCCTCCCAGAGTCGAGGATTGGAGTGACCTCGCAGATCACCCGTCCAGATAACACCAGGGGAACATCACCCCCCACCCCCGTCTCTGGACCTCTGCCCCCTTTGGCCCTCCGGGAAGCTTGGAGCCCCATGGGCAGCGGGTGGGAAGGGGACTCCCCGCCCCCGGCTGATTGCCAAATCTGAGAGACCCTCCATGGAGCAGCCACCAACCTGCTCTGCCCTCCCCCGACCCGCCTGAGCCTGCGAGTACTGAGAGGAGGGGACGCCCCGGCCATCGTGCCGCTAACACAGCATGTCCCCCCGCCACCGTTCGACACCCCGTCCAGCAGGCGCTGAGCACGGCCCGGGACAGCGGGGACGGGCGTGGGGCGAGCTCACTGGCAGCAGAATGGGGGGCGAGGGGGCTGGCTGCCCTCCAGCGATTGCCTCATGCTGGGCCCAGCAGGGGGGTTTGAGGAGGGAGGTTTGGGCAGCTGCGGGCTGGGGTGCACCAGAGGCGTTGAGTGAGGAGCCGGGGCAGGGAGAGGCGCGGGGGCGGGGGGGGGAAGGCAGGCAGTGAGCGGGGCGGGGCGGAATGGTTGAGGGAGAGAAGGCAAGTAAAGCTCGGGTGACGCAGTGAATACCCACATAGTGAAACCCCCGCCCCCCCCGAGACCCCATCCGGCCGTCCTCTCCCCGCCCCCCAGGGCCCCATCTGGCTGTCCTCTTCCCCCCCAGGGCCCCGTCTGGCCGTCCTCTCCCCGGCCTTGTCCCCCGGGGCCCCATCTGGCTGTCCTCTTCCCCGCCCCCCAGGGCCCCGTCTGGCTGTCCTCTTCCCCTCCCTCCTCCCCCGGAGCCCTCTCTGGCCATCCTCTCCCCCCTTCAGCCCCCCAGGGCCCCATCTGGCCATCCTCTTCCCCTGGAGCCCCGTCTGGCTATCCTCTCCCCCCACCCCGGGGTCCCGTCTGGCCGTCCTCTCCCCAGCCCTCAGCCCCTCCGGGGCCCTGTCTGGCCACTCTCCCCCTCCCCGCACTGAGCCCAGGCCCCATGGAGCTGAGTGCTGCCCCTCGCAGGCAGGGCAGGCAGGGGGCCCAGGTCCCCAGAGCCAGCACTGAGACCCCTCTGCTCCTTGGGTCAGAGGTGTCCTCCCATAGGTGCTGACTTCCCTGCTTTCCTCTGGGTGCTTGACCCCCACTCCGCCCCTGGCCCCGCCCCCAGTCCACCCCTTCCATGAAGCCCCGCCCCCACCCCAACCCCCATTCCAACCCCTTCCCCAAATCCCCGCCCCGGCCCCGCCTCCTCCCCTTCCCTCCTGCGGCGTGCTAACGCTGCCAAACAGCTGTTTGGCGGCGGCCGGGCGGGAAGCGCTGGGAGGTAGGCGGAGGAGCGGGGATGCGGCACGCTCAGGGGAGGAGGCGGAGGAGGGGAGGGGAGGCGGGACAGGGAACTTGGCTGCCGGTGGGTGCAGAGCACCCACTAATTTTTCCCCATGGGTGCTCCAGCCCCGGAGCATCCACGGAGTCGGCGCCTATGCTCTGACTGCTCCGCGCAGTGCGAGTCGATCAGTGCCACTGCTTGGCCCCTCTTAGCAGCCAGCCCTGCCGCTGGGCCTGGGGGAGGCTGTTCCTACGGGCAGGGCATCCAGGGCCCAGCTTTCACCCGTATGTTGTGTCCTGAGGCCCTGGCTTTTTCCTTCCCTCGCTGCGGCTAATACCCTCTCCCAGACCCTTCCCTATCTCCCGTCCTGCCTCCTCCTCTCCAACTGCCCACCCCAGAGAGCCCCCGAGGCTGCTCTGCCCCACTTGCCTCCCTAAGCACGTCCTGCCCTCCTACGAATCTCCCCCAGGCTGCCCCTTCCCCACCACCTCCCGTGGTCACCTTGGGGTCTGCAGGACTCCAGCTGCCATTGCTCCAGCCTGACCGCTGCTGGAAGCCTCTGCTCCTACCTGTCTGCTTCCCTCGGGCTCCCTCTCCTTCCTGCCCCCTGCCCCGGCCCCTCCTCTCAACCCTCCTGCAAACCCAGTTCTTCTGCGATACCCCCGCGGCGTGTCCCCCACCTGCTCACTCTCGGGTGACCGGGGAGGGGGCGGAGGTTGGCAGGGGCGCGGCAGAGCGATGTCGGGCACTGGGGCAGACAAAGGGGCTGAGTTCTGGAGGGAGAAGGGGAAGTTAGAGCGTCACCATGTGACGCTGGCCTGTGTCCACAGGGATCGGGAAATACGTGGCCTTGGACCTGGCCCGCAGGAACGCCCGCACCATCCTCGCCTGCCGCAGCAGAGAGCGGGGGCAGGCAGCGGTGGAGGAAATCCAGAGGGCCACCGGGAACCCAAACGTGCTTCTGAGGATCGTGGACATCAGCAACATGGCCTCCGTCCGGCGCTTTGCCAAGCAGATCCAGCAGGAGGAGAAGCGACTGGACATCCTGGTCAATAACGCCGGAGTCACAGGTTGGTGGCGTCGCGTAGGGATGGGGACAGGCCTTCAGCAGAGTGTGCCCAGCCCCTGCCAGCAGAACCCCCCTCCCCTGTGCCACACGCCAGCCACGTCTGCCCAGCCCCTGCCTGCGGAACCCCCCTCCTCTGTGCCACACGCCAGCCACGTCTGCCCAGCCCCTGCCTGCAGAACCCCCCTCCCCTGTGCCACACGCCAGCCACGTCTGCCCAGCCCCTGCCTGCAGAACTCCCTGTAGGCCTTGCTGGAGCCCTTTGCATAACTGACAGGGGCAGTGAAGCACAGTAGGCCTGGGCGGGGCAGGTATTAACTAGCCCCAAGTCAGCCCATTCCTGACTGGGGAGCATGGTGCAGCAGCACCCAGAGTCGTGGCCTGAACACATTCCTGGGAGCTGGGACAGGGACACCCCCACCCGCGTAAGATGAGGAGGGACCAACAGGAGACTGGAGGGGGATGTTTTGCTCGAAGGTGCAGGATAATAACCAAACACAGCAGGGTGTCCCACAGCCCCTGCTCGTATCCCGGTAGAAAAGGAGAAGTCACAGGAGGGGTGTCTTTGTGCTGGTCTAGGGGCAGGCCCTGGTGTCCTGACTGAGCTGGTCTCGTTGTGGCGAGCGTACTCGTGCTCGTGCACCTGCAGCTCGTAGTGGGTGCGAGGCCCACGCTTTGGCGACAAGAACCCTGGCCGCGCGCCTTCCCCGCTGCGCTGAGCCTGTGGGCCTTCTTTACGCCGGACATCACGGCCTGCGGGATCAGCACCCTGTGTTCTCTGCTGCTGCAGCTGACGTCGGCACACCGCCCGGCACCCCGACCGCTGATCTGATGGGTGCCCACTCTAGGAGTCGCGGCCTAAGATGGTCGAAATCTCCGAGCGAGGGAATCCCCTCATCCCCCCCAGCCAGATCGCCCCAGAGTTTGATAAGGTGTGGACGCGCTGGGGAGTAGGTCAAGGCAGGCCATCCGAGTTTACAAAGAAAGTGGGGAGACATGGGCTGGAATCGGTAAGGCGGTGCCAGAGACTATAGCCTTGAAGAGGAAGAAGTGTAAAGAAATGTAGAATCTTGCAAACCGTGGCCATGGCTGTTAGATGGGTAAGACAAGAGGCCACAAAATTGGCAGGGAAAGTAATAGAAAGAAAGAAAGAGTCCGACGAAGGAACAGAAGCAATGGAGCCCGGGAAAATGCAGGCAGAAAGCAGGCCAGACACAGGATATGTTGCAGCAAGCACAGGAACAGACTAGAGAATTGGAAAGAGCTGTAGAGAATCTGCAGAAAAGAGACGTGCCGCCCCCGTTATCGATCTGGGTGTGCAGCAGCAAGCTTCGGGGACTTCTCTTGTGCCTGAAGGACGGGGACAGAAATGGACCATTGAAAGCTAGATCCCGGGAGGATTGGAACGACCTAGGCCAACAGTCACCACGTAGCCCCTGGGCAGGGGCCGCCGCACCACAACTGGCCCTGGACGATGAAAGCCAGGTTCCAGCAAATCCTGAACCGAAACCTATTTTGGACATTGGTAGGAGCCTTAAGCCACCCCAGCATCAAATCCACCCAGTCGGGTTTGATGCTGGTGTCGCTGCAGTGAGCGGTTGGGTGACTCCGAAGTATTTTACAGTTCCCTCGGGTGGAGCAGCAACAAAGGAAGTTACAAGAATGCACAGAGAGGCTCCCCCACGCTTAGCAGAGAGATTCCAGATGTGGATGGATGGGGACTTAGAGCCAGAAACACCAAAGGAAACACCGTGTCGCAGACATTACTCTGAGGTGTGGTGGAATGGTTGGAAGCGTGGCATGAGGATGAAGCAGCTACATGCCGCTGGGTGAATGGCTGGGAAAATGGAAGAAGTTGTGAGGCAGCAAGAGGGAACGCTTGGAAATGAGCTGAGAACACAGCTAGGTCAGTGGGAAACAGAGGGACCCGGAGGCCGAGGCTGGGGTTAGAGAGGTTGCAGAATGAATCGAGGCGGAGGAGGAGGACGAGATGGTGAATGGGTGCCAGCCGGACAGTTAATACAGGAGAATAGAGATCTGAAAGGAGAGACTGAGAAGTTGCAGGCACAGTTCCAAGCATGTATGGTTAGTAGGGAACGGGGAGATAAAGATAAGAAAAAGGACTGTGGTAGCTGTGTTCACTTCACGATGAACCAATGGCATAGGATAGCCCTTCCCGAGACTCAGGACGCATTTGTCAGCAACCCGTGACTGTAGATGTTTGGGGACACCCTCATATTTGCATCTGAGTTGGGGATGGGCTTGTAAATGTTTGTATTGGCTCCAGGGGCAGGGATCCCCATAGCTAAGGACATATTCAATGCACAGCCAGTGACAGTCAGTATAAATACGGGGAATAAACAAGACTATGTTAAAATATCACCCTCCAGGAAAAATGTGCCATTAAAAGGAGAGAAAATCAGATTGGAGCAGAAACAATAAAACGATGGGGGATAATTATTGACTTTCCAAACATGGCTTTAGCAAACCTTACAGGAAACGAGGACAGTGACAATAATCATTTAATTCCCAGGGAATTGGCTACACAAACAGTGAAGGCAATAAAACCAAAGAAACCACCCCATGCCGGAGGGATGGGAGCTTGGTGGACTGAAACAGAGCCTAGTTACCCTGGGAGTATGTGTACAAGATTCGTCAGCTGCAGGAAGAGTACAGACCCTAGTTACCCTCGAAGGAGACTCCTCCCTCCCCCTCCGTACATTAAACAATATCCAATACCCCAGGAAGCCAAAGACTCATTAAGACATGTTATTGACAAACGAGAGAGGGGTGGATTTATTAGGTGGTGCTCAACACCTGATACCGCACCAGTGGGCCCGGTAAAATAGCCAGCTGGAACGTGGAGACTGACAGTTGTTTATAGAGGATTAAATAAAACTTCGACGAGAGCGGCACAAGTAGTGGCAGCCTGTCCTGCATTGATGGAGGTGGCCTCTCCTAAAACGAAGGGGTTCTCTGTTGCGTACATATGTAGCAGGCTCTGGAGTCTCCCCTTGAACTCCAGGTAGCCGTATCGAACAGCTGTTGTGTTTCCAGGAACCCAGTATTGCCGACTGTTTTACCTAAGGGCTATTGTGATGCACCAACCATACTTCCTGCTGTGGTGAGAAATATGCTAGAAAAAGAGGGACTTTTACAAACCGGATGAATACATCAATATGTAGATAACATCGTGGGGTAAGTGAGCCAGCAGAGGAACATGAACAGTTAGCACAGCACTTATTGAAATGTTGCCAGACATCGGGCTTAAGACTTAATCCTTCTAAGTCTCAAATCAAGCAAAAGGAGGTACAGTCTCTAGGAATTAGACTGGGTGCAGGAGATAGGTCAGTCACTAAGGAAAGAGTAGAAAGTATTATCCAGCTTCCCATGCCAGGGGATATTAAATCGCTGCAGTCTTTCTTGGGTCTCACGAATTTCTGTCGGGAGTTTATTGTAGGATATGCAGAGTCGGCAGGACTCTTATATGAAGTGCTCCAAAGAGTGCAGTGAACACAGACAGAGAAGACAACTAGTGTTACCCAGGATTTTCTGAACCCAGAGCTCTGGGTAACTTTACCCTTTGGGAGGCGGTGCCAGGAAGTAAATCGATGGGGACACTGCACATCTGTCTGATGGATGGTTGGTATAAACAGAGCAAACGAGTGCTTCCACTAAAAGCTTTTACTTTATTTAGTCTCCAGCACTTATACGTGTCCCCCACCGGTTAGTAGAGCACCCCAAAACAATCATTACCAAAGTCTGGAGTGGTCTTTCAGTGGGTCAGTGTCAGATTTCTGGGGGCCAACCTTCTGTCTGCCACGGGGGATCTTAAGATGTGTCCACCTAACTCAGACCTTTCTCCCCATACATAGCTTATCAATCAAAACAAAAACAAAACAAATACAAAACCAATCATATAGAGACAAAATATAGGGACAAAAAAGAGGTTCAACAAGGACAAGTGCAGAGTCCTGCACTTAGGATGGAAGAATCTCATGCACTGCTACAGACGAGGGACCGAATGGCTAGGCAGCAGTTCTGCAGAAAAGGACCTAGGGGTTACAGTGGGTGAGAAGCTGGATATGAGTGAACAGTGTGCCCTTGTTGCCAAGAAGGCTAACGGCATTTTGGGCTGTATAAGTAGGGGCATTGCCAGCAGATCGAGGGATGTGATCGTTCCCCTCTATTCGACATTGGTGAGGCCTCATCTGGAGTACTGTGTCCAGTTTTGGGCCCACACTACAAGAAGGACGTGGAAAAATTGGAAAGAGTCCAGCGGAGGGCAACGAAATGATTAGGGGGCTGGAGCACATGACTTATGAGGAGAGGCTGAGGGAACTGGGATTGTTTAGTCTGCAGTGCCCCTCCATGCATGAGTTTGGCAATGGAGGCTAAGACTCTAAGCCTAAAGAGAAGGTCTCACATTGGGGGTGCAGTCCAGACCAGTGAGGGGTTGTGCACCATCTGCTCTGCAACCTTGGGTAGCTGGTAAGAGAATGCATGGTGAATGCACTGGTTGTTTCAGAGACCCCAGTCAATGGACTTGAACAATTTTGGTTGCCAGGCAATTTGTTTTAAGGTTCTGATGGCTACTTACTCACCCTTCAGCAGTTATTTCAAGAGTATCCCATGAGCACTGGGATACATAGAGGGCCAAGAGCTGAGCAGAAAGATAAATTAAGCAAATTGCATGCTTGTTTTACTGGAACTACAATTCACATCCGTAGGTCCAGCCATCTTGTCTAACAGGAGCAGTATTGCAGTGTGTCTCTGTCTTTCTTCTTTGCATGGTAATGTTTTCTATTGAGCTGTTCTGGGTTCTTCTACTTAAAGTTTGGTAGGCAAGAGGTCAGCAAGCCACCAGCACCATGCTGGTCTCTATCTGTTGCCACATGTGCTGTAGTTTCTAACGTATGCCAAGAGACTGGGCATTTTAGTGGCTCTGAAGGCCGTGTGGTGCTAACGGTTCACTGGGACAGGCTATTAAGCGGTTTGCACTGT